TCATCCTTTCGGTAGCATTCCAGAAACTTGGATGAACAAGTACTGAAGAAGCACACTGAGCACAGGTTTTTTCTTTTCCTTTCATTTTTTACCGATGTGTAGTTTGACATTGTGAAAGATCTGTCAGGTTTACCTGTCCTGAAGATGTTTGGTTGTATTTTTGTACAAAGACCCCTTTTCACACTCTTTAAACCACAGATGTAGCTGCTCATGCAGTCTCTATAACTTAAAAACGATAACTTTAAGGCAGGTTTTTGAATAAAGGAAGATTTCCTGTAAACAAAAACTGTGTTTTGCCTTGTTTGGGAACCTAGAAATGGGAAAGCGACAACGAGACGGACATCGTGATCATTAAAGGAGCAGGTGACAAAGCTTTTTGTGCAGGTGGAGACATTAGAGGTAAGCAAGCTGCCTTCAAGGTTCAGGTATCAGTTTCAGATGAGTTTTTATGTTGACCTGTGTGACCGATTACTGTTTTTATCTTCTTTTTTCCCCCTCTCAGCTGTAACAGAGGCCGGGAAGGTCGGAGACTCTCTTGCCCAGGACTTCTTTCGTGAGGAATATCTTCTGAACAATGCTATTGGTATGCATTTTATTTTATTTTATTTTATGTATGTATCTATTTATTTATTTTGTTTAATATAAATGTTACCTGTCGGTTTTCATTCACTTATCCAAACACTCTGGCAGCTTCACATTGTTCTTATACATTTTAATTCTTCTTTCAAGGATCGTACCGGAAGCCATATATTGCCCTTATTGATGGCATAACAATGGGAGGGGTGAGTTTGAGTTTTTATCCTGTATTATAAAGTTCAGGATGGATACTTTTTGCCATCACTGGCATGAATTGTAGACATGAAAAACGTTTTTTGTTTTGTTTTTTTTCTCATGAAATGTTATGTGAAAGTCTGCCAGTAGGTGTCAGTGGAGATTTATCTGCTCCTGTTACCTGCTGCCAGTGGCAAGGTGGCCTCTGATTGGATGAAATGTAAAGTGACAAATCATTGTTGCTGCCACTGGTCTTTCCCTCCAGGTGTCAGATTTGGATGGAATATGAACTGATACTTTTAGTGTAGTGTCATACACGCAGAGCTGCACACATGCACGGTTCAACTCACCTGGTTACAGGAGATGCTGTGAGGCTTGAATCTCTGATGTGACCTTGATGGTGATGTCACTCCTGAGGTGTCACTGAGGTCACTCACAGCAGCCAGTATCCCACTGGCTCATTAGTCATCACGACCTTGTCTGTGTGCATATGTGTGGGCGTGCTTTGCTACTGTTGTAAGGACCAGTTTAGGTCTGAAACAACTGGTGAAAGGGCATTAAGGCTGCTCTTCACATATTTAGGGGGAAGTTTGATAATTAGGACTTAGTTTTTTCATTAAAGGAGGCCTGTTATTAATTACAGTATATTGATGGAGATACCAGGTAGCAAGAGTTCATATTCATGCACCCGTGTTTGCATTTTGAAAGTGTAGTGGTTAACACATTCACCTTACAAGCAGAAGATCCAGGTTGGAGGCTGGGAAGTACCTACAGTACAGAAATCCAGTGCTTCTCTGTAAATATAAGTAGCAGTGGATCCTCAAAGTGGAGCAAGAGTTAATTGGACTTTGGTCTGGTCCCTTTGTTGCTTTTTTTAGCTTCTCCCCCAGTAAGCTAGCTTTGTTCTGATCAGCTACCCCTCATAATCGGTAGATTTAAATAAGGGTGGAGTTTCTTAGTCTGAAATTAAAATATTAAATCCATCTTACATCATACACAGGCAAGACTTAAAAAAAACCCTTTCAAGACAGAACATTTAGAGCATTAGTTTCACAGAGATTACTTATACCCACACAAACCTCATTGTCTGAAACCTGAAACTGGTTCTAGCATCCACCAACAGAACAGAAAATAAGGAAAATAACACAACAGACCCACTCTGAGGTGAGGTTAGGGTTAGGGAATGCATTATGTCAGTGATCCCAGTTATATTGGGAGTGAAAACAGATTACAGTCATGGATAACGGGAGACATAACAAGCAGAGAAAATGTGCTGGTGTTTGTCTTGTTGGTCTTTCCAGAATTTATTCAACAAACACTCTTTCAGTCAGATTCATCAGACGCTAAAGAGCGTTTAATTTTGGATCGAGAACTTTGTTGTTGTAATGAACATAAAACCTCATTAGCATGAAAAGAAAAGCTGCTAAAGGAGAATTAACAACAAGAATCAAATCACTGGAAAAGCAACGTCAAATAAAACTGTGGGAGCGGAAGACTTCTTAGTCCTGTCTGTAACTACAGATGCAAAGTTTCAGTGGACCTTGAGATGGGACTGACCTGCCCAAACTCCTCCTTTTAGCTCTGCTTTGCTCAAAACCATCTGGAAACATTTGGTTTTGACTTCAACAAGTAGATTCTCAGCCTTTCTGCAGGTTTTTTCTACTAAACCCCTTTTGTTTTTATTTCCCTGTGGTGTCCCACAGGGCTCAGACCTGGGTCCTCTCTTATTCATTTTATATCTGCTGTCTTTGGGACAGGAAATTTAACATTAGCACTTATTTG